AAAGAGGGAAAAGGAAGCGGAAGGGGGATGAAACACAAGGGAGAGGAGTAAACGAAAAGCCACACAAATAGGTACCAACAAAAACTTCGTAGCCGCATCAGAGAAGATGATGCGTACAATGCTGCAGGGCGCATAGGCCAATACTATGCGGCAACAGCGAGAAGACCTCATCCGCACCCTCGTAAAAAATGCATAAAAAAATATAAAAAAGAATGACACAAACAAATAAACTGTTGTTAATTAGCCACAAATAAGACGCTCGAGGAAGTTGTCACAAAAAAACAAAGAAAAAAAACAATGAATCCTGACAAGTCACAACTACACATGAAGGCAACACAAACACTTTACACAAATGCCCAATTGAGCCTGGCCTCGTGCCGCACAACTATGGCCTTAAATATAATCACATGGCTGAAAAAAAAATAAACCAGCGCCACACCGTGACCCTCGCGGTGATGGCGGAAATTGCCGCGCCGTCTGACCCTCCCGTACGGCCTAGCCTCACATCTGCAAGTTTACTCACTGCGCCGCGCAACATCGTCATTAGTCTTATTCGAAACCTCCATCAGTGCTGTGCCACCGGCAGATGGTCAATCGCTATCGGAGTCCACAAAGGGGCCAAACTCCACAAACGCCGTTTCCGCGTGACGCAGAAGGTGGAATCGAGTGGCTTCATCCTCATTCATGTGGTTTATTTGATGCATCCTGATGCTACGGAAGGCCTCCCGGTTGCCCTCTGAGAGGTGCAGTCTCCTTCCTTCACTCAACCGCACGGGCGGTGTAGGCGTTTCAGAGTAAGAATAAGTTTGCTTGACCCTTTGATATGCGCTCCGCTCCTGCGGTCCGGAAAGGGGGTTTGAGCCACCATGCACACCACCATGGCTACTTCCGACAGAGCCGCCATATCTTCTATTCCCAGCCTGCCTTTTATTGCGACGCAAGCGGCGCACAATCACCACAACAATAATAACAATAAACAGTACAATGAAAACGCTACAAACAATAAGAAGAAACTTAGTAGGATCAGCACGAGACTCATCATCAGGAATAGGATCTGGAGAAGGCACCGTCATCGATAGGGTGCCCGTCCTTGTCCCGGTCTCCGTTAATGTGGGTGACGCGGTGTGAGCTGGTGTGCCCGTCCCTTTCCCGGTCTGCGTTAATGTGGGTGACGCGGTGTGAGCTGGAGTGCCCGTCCCTTTCTCGGTCTCCGTTAACGTGGGTGACGCGGTGTGAGCTGGAGTGCCCGTCCCTTTCCCGGTCTCCGTTAACGTGGGTGACGCGGTGTGAGCTGGAGTGCCCGTCCCTTTCCCGGTCTGCGTTAATGTGGGTGACGCGGTGTGAGCTGGAGTGCCCGTCCCTTTCCCGGTCTGCGTTAATGTGGGTGACGCGGTGTGAGCTGGAGTGCCCGTCCCTTTGCCGGTCTCCGTTAACGTGGGTGACGCGGTGTGAGCTGGAGTGCCCGTCCCTTTCCCGGTCTGCGTTAATGTGGGTGACGCGGTGTGAGCTGGAGTGCCCGTCCCTTTGCCGGTCTCCGTTAACGTGGGTGACGCGGTGTGAGCTGGAGTGCCCGTCCCTTTCCCGCTTTGCGTTAACGTGGGTGACGCGGTGTGAGCTGGAGTGCCCGTCCCTTTCCCGGTCTGCGTTAACGTGGGTGACGCGGTGTGAGCTGGTGTGCCCGTCCCTTTGCCGGTCTCCGTTAACGTGGGTGACGCGGTGTGAGCTGGAGTGCCCGTCCCTTTGCCGGTCTCCGTTAACGTGGGTGACGCGGTGTGAGCTGGAGTGCCCGTCCCTTTCCCGGTCTGCGTTAATGTGGGTGACGCGGTGTGAGCTGGAGTGCCCGTCCCTTTGCCGGTCTCCGTTAACGTGGGTGACGCGGTGTAGAACTTGGTGACCGTTGCGTGAGTCATGGTTTTGTGCGGCGGTGAATGTTTATTTCTGACTGTTGGCGCCGTCATTGCCTCAAATGAAGTAGGCGAATCCATTGCCTACCCAAAAAAACTTCCAAGTGCCCTTTTGGGTGACGCAATGGTGTACTCTAAATTTCGGCGCCTTTGCGCCGCCACACACACACACACACAAAATGCTAATGCTATCTTGCGGGAACAGTTCCAAGTTACACAGAGACTCTATTTATCCTTATTATCCACAGTGTTGCAAATAAGTCCGTCTTCTTCTAGGATCCAACAGACACAATGCACAAAAAATGGTCAAAAAATAAATGAGAAACTTTGGAAAATGCAAATAAAAGGCAGGTCGCGTGATAACTGTAGGGAGTCAGAGAGGCAATACACAGCTGTTGTTGATTGGCAATTTGGTCCTGCATCTGTCACCCACGTTTCACCCCCAAATCTCGTGTTAGGAAGGAATTGCGCAGATATCCCCCACAAAAACCAATAAAAAGGGCAAATGTGGAGTGAGTGTGGGTGTAAGATTATCCAAAAAAAAAAAAAAAACAAATATGTACAGGAGAAAAAAGACTCCTTTCATGGACGGAAAAAGTTTCTTACATTTGCTTTCGTTCCTCTGATGCCCGCGCGCAAATCCCCTCTCTCCATACCACTTTGCTGTCACAGTTTCTTTTCTCTTTTGTATTTACTCCAGAGCGCACTCAAGAGATTGCATACAGTACTCCAGTCCTTTTGCGTGACCCGACACCTCGCGCAGCATCTGCTGCGGAAAGTGGCGGCACCAAACCGCCAACGCCCTTTCCCAGCCAAACAGGGAACAATACATTGCGCAATGCTCCCCTTCGACCGCACCCGGATGCTGCAGAAGGTACTGCGTGGCGTGAAGCGCCGCCTCCCACTGGCCACCCGACGTGGCACAAGAACGATACACAAGTTTCAGCGTTCCAGGCATCATGGAGTCTACACCGCACGCACGACACTGGCACCCCAGCAGTTCGAGCGATGTCTGCCAAAGCAGGCCCATCTGAAACGGCTGTGGAAATACCCGCTTCTCAGTGGCTGCCGTCTTTCGAGGTGACGCAGAGTTTGACAGAGATTGTCCTGTTTCATGTAAACGCATTAAATAATGGCGGTACTCTGCCACTCGGCACACCAGTTTCTGCAGCTCGTAGAACATGACAGCATCAGGGGGAGTCATGTGGGGACTCTTCAATCCTTCTTTGCCCGTGGATCCCAACAGGCCAACAAGAACGCACATTATAAGCTTCATGCTCACCCGAGTGCGTTCCTCAACGTTCGGCACAGTAGGCTCCCCAACGCCTAGACGTGGAAGAAGACGGTCCATTTGGTTTGGAAGCAACATGTGTGTGGGAATGCGCCCTCCACAGCGTGCCGTAACGCACTCCATGAGAGAAAAACAATTCTTCTCTCTTAAAACGATTGAAGCTCCAGACGGTTCTTCAAGTAAATTCAACAGCGTTTCATACAGGACGCAGTAAAGGATCGTGTTCACATCGGTATCCCCATGCTGCTGTGCGAGACGACGGGGATGTGTGTGACAATCCAGTAGGTGAAGCCCCGAAACCGCGTGCTGAAAATATTGCAGAGAGTGCAGCCACAGCTCGCCGTGTGCCGCACAACAGCGCCGAAGCATTTTGAGAGTTGCACAATGCACAGAGGCGGAAATGACCTGAAGCGGTTTCACGTTCCCGGTAACCGCACCGGCGCGTTGGTCCTCCACGAGGTGCAGAAGAGTCAGGGCACGCTCCCAGTTCATCGTCGTCTCTACAAAGTGGTACAACACCTTATCCTCCACCATCAACGGCTTTCTCTCCGGCACTCCTCTGTTGGACGAGAAGAACTCAAGCGGGACAAACTCAAGCAGTTCCGAAGATGGCGACAAGGGACTTGCACACAATACATAATCCAGAAAGTCTATCATTCGCTGCCGCTGCCCATGTGCATGCAGGATGTGAGCAACACGATTAATTATGAGCACATTACTCGGTGTCGAGGAGGCACCCGCCGGGTCGTATGGCGTCGCAGCCATGTTCAGGCGACATGATAGTTCAAATATACGTAGCGCTACATTCCAAGGCATCGAGTGGCGGAGCAACAGCGACACCATGCGCTGCGTGGGTCGGCGTCCCTCAATGCCAGGCATGACGCCACGCCCCCCACTTGTGGCAAATGAGGCGTAGTTCTCGGAAAGTACCTGCAAACAAAAACGCCAATGCGCCATGGAAGCAAATGATGCACCGCTGCTCGTTGGCAGCATGGAAGGAACTTTGGAGAGCACACACTCCACCTCCGCATCGTTGACTCGAAGAGAATTCTCCGGACGTCGGGTGAGACGTTGCAGGCAATAAAGCACCGCCTGAACACTATCGCCGCTGCTGGCATGCAAAATGTTCAGTCGGGAACGGCCAATGTCCCTTCTATGGAGTTGCTGGGTGGCAAGCCCATCCGCAAACACCGCAATCGCCTCCAGCCATTTCCCATGGTGAACGAGCCCACGGATAATCTTAAAGTGGTCAAGTTGCCCTGATGCGTGGGCGCGCCGGAGCACATTCACGCGATCCAGCTCCGAGGGGAACGACTGTACGGCTGAAAGAAAGTTGCCATCCCAGCGAAACAGGGAGCCATCAATATTTTTATTGCAGGCCTCATTAAACATCTGCATGGCAATAAGGGGCCGTCGGCAAACTCGACCCACCACATCTAACGACATGGAAAACATTGTTCCCCACTCACCCACTCGTGTTGGTGCCGCAGTCGGTGATGCAACGCGCGCTGAGAGATGTTCCACCCCATCGTTCCCCTGCCGTGCGGTGGAATACGTGGGGGTTGCAGCGATCAGTTTGAGGTGAAGCTCAAAGATGCGAAACACCGCTTCCCAGGCGCCAACCTTGCCCAACCGCTGCACCAGGTGTCCTGCAGACACATGACTTGGCGTGTCACCCTGATACAACATATGACGATAGAACTGCAGTGACTCCTTCCACTGATTCGCCTGCAGAAGAGATGTCAGCGCCGTGTGCCGCATCCATCGAAGTGAGACACGACGGGAGGCTCGTGGCTCATCCCCCGCACGGTCAGTCGTTTCTCGCTGTCGACGCGCTGCCTCAGGAGCCGCGACATCACGCGTTGCCAGTTCATAAAGCCGAAGAATATCCACCCAAGCCACGCAAGTATACGACAGATTACGCATCAAATGGGCACATGACGCGGGCGACATATCAGCGGGGAAAAAAGAAGTCCGTTTCCTGAACGGCCCCAATGACATCGTCTCCGACTGTAACAACCGCCATCGTTCCAAAAGATTCAAAGAAATCCTCCAGCATTCCACTGGAAATCGGCAGTGCCTCAGGAGGTATGCGATGGTCTCACTCTCGGCCGTTGCGTGGGTCACCGCGTCTGTCGCCGGAGAGGCCCCAGCCAACCGAGAGGGCAACGACTCCTCACACCGTGCGTCGGCCACAGAGGAGGCCGAACACATCTTGGACAGCTCCACCAGAAGTAGTGCATCGCGCCACCTCCCAGAGACGCTGTAGGGAGAGTCGTGCCCCTCCCTCCTCGGCGCAGTGCGTGGTGAGGCAGCAGTGCCGTACGTGTGACGCCTTGTTTTCCCACAAAATGGGGGAAACAAACGACGCAGCGCATCACGGAGTGCCGCCGGGCTCACTGCACCGGCGCCCAGACGCAGTTCCCCACGGAGAAGTCTCGCCGAACGCAGGCACGTGACTTGAACTCCACCTTGCGCTTGGAGCAAAGCACAAATAGGGAGAAGCAAATAAGAAATGGATGATAGGATAAAAATGCACGCATGCAGAAAACAAAATAATAATAAAAATACAAAAGAAAAAACACCCAACATGAAAGCAACAAAAAAGACAGTGACACAAACAAAAGAAAGAAAAAAGGAGTTGACAAGAGTGAGGCCTAACGCCTAAATCCAACAACCTGGACTTCTTCACCCGACCATCGCGCCGCGTTCTGGCCACTGTGTGTGTGTGTGTGTGTGTGTGCAAAGGGATAAACAAATGTGCCCGTGTGCGCCGCCCATCATGGGGCCCTCGCAAGCTTCACAGCAGCAAAACAACGCAAAAAGAAAAAAGTAAAGAAACAAAAAAAAAAAAAAAGAGAAGAGAGAAGATAAAAACAAACCATTCGGAAAGGGCCAACATTTATTCCGTTTGGAGCCGCCATCTGTCAAATTCCTCCATGGGAAAAATGTGGCGGCACAATAAAACGCCACGGCGCCTCAGTATAACTCCAGCAGGCTTTATTTCCCCCTCTGCTGCGTGGAAGGTGGTGGTGGTGGTGGCACAGAAGGAGAGGAACGGACAAGTAAGGAAATAAAAAACTATCGCTTTGCAAGTTGACAGTGGGTTGACAACATGCGGAAAAAAAAGGCACTCGCCCAACGAAGTCCGCTCCCTCCCCCCCAAAATGACTGGGGAACAACCCTGAGGAAACGCCAAGCGAAAAGAGAATAGAGTGAAAAAAAAAAAGAAACAAACAAACACCTTTTTTTTGGGGGGGATTTGCAAATGACATTCACACCAAACAAAGACGCCTGGACCACCCTACTCAATTCGGCAGTTAAAAGAAATGGGGCCGCCCGTTTTGTATTGGAGTTCCTCGACGGTGAAATACCCCGCCAATTCCCCCAGCAGCAGCCGGCAAGCACTGTCACCCATATACACAACGCCAAACACCGCCAGATCGAGGATGATGGTGCCGACCCTTCCCCTCCACGTCACGGGCATGTCGCGCTGCTCAAAGATGCGTGGTTTGCCGTCCCGGTCCACGTGCTCCAAAAGAACGAGGCCTCTACCACCGCCGCACAAGGTTTGCATGGTGACAGTTTCAGCAAACAGCACCTTCTCAACTCCATGCAATCTCGCAATCTCGCCGGTTGCCGTCACCTGTAAAGCATCCAAAGGCGTCACATCCGTGTGACACCCTTGGAGCATTACAGAGAAAATATTTGTATCAAAGAACAAGGCATATGAGCTCAGACACACTGAGAGCGCTGTCACTGGCGCCTGCAAGACAAGCTTCTACAGTTCCTCCCTTCTTCGGCAGCCTGTTGCTGCTGCTGCACATGCTACAATCGTGATGCATTCCAAGTTTGTGATTCGCAGAGGTGAAAGATCAGGTCCCCATTGGAGGGCATGCCAATGTCAAGTTCTACATGCATGCCACGACGTAGTTCCCGGGCCGCACGCTTCACAGTCCGCTCTTGTTAG